AATATTTTTGTAATTTTTGGTAAAAAGTGATATTTTCGACTTCTTGTTAAAAACCAATAGTTCAATTGCTTTGATATTACATATATAGATACTACATGTAGACCTTTCTCAGATTTGTTCATTTTGTGATGATATCTTCAGTTCTCTAATTTTGGTGAATATTTTTGTCATTTTTGGTAAAAAGTGATATTTTCGACTTCTTGTTAAAAACCAATAGTTCAATTGCTTTGATATTACATATATAGATACTACATGTAGACCTCTCTCAGATTTGTTCATTTTGTGATGATATCTTCAATTCTCTAATTAATTTATTTTTGTGAATATTTTTGTTATTTTTCGTAAAAAGTGATATTTTCGACTTCTTGTTAAAAACTGTAAGTCCGATTGCTTTGAACACTATTCATATTGTTCATTTTCTAATGATGTCTTCAGTTCTTTAATTGAAATATGCATTGCTAACAGCAGAGCTATCTCAGCCGATAGGCTGCTTGTTTTCAGTAAGAGCATTGTTTATGTACATTTGTATTTGATAACATGTTTGAACATTACACTATTTTGTTTATATACCTCAACAGATAATGACGAGAGTGGTGATGAAGGTACTGGGGAAGGCGATGGTGATGATAATAACGGTGACCAAGTACGGGATGAGAATATAGTAGTAGTATATGAAGAACACATTGCAAGTAAAGCAGTCCAAGCTAAAAGGTTACTGGTGTCAGAGACAAGTACTGGATTACATGGACAATCATTGGTAATAAATGATGGAGTATTAGATGAAGATAGGACCTATGTAGTGGTTGTGACCATGTCCAGCTCTGGTATGTTGATAAATCATTTCCATTGATACCTATGTAGTGGTTGTGACCATGTCCAGCTCTGGTATGTTGATAAATCATTTCCATTGATACCTATGTAGTGGTTGTGACCATGTCCAGCTCTGGTATGTTGATAAATCATTTCCATTGATACCTATGTAGTGGTTGTGACCATGTCCAGCTCTGGTATGTTGATAAATCATTTCCATTGATACCTATGTAGTGGTTGTGACCATGTCCAGCTCTGGTATGTTGATAAATCATTTCCATTGATACCTACTTGGCATCCTCCATCTGTATTTACCCATTTTATGTATCTTATATTTGAAGTTAATGAAGTGTCATGAAAGGGGAGCCAACACTAATTAAAGAAGAAACTATTGGGAATTGAGTTGGGTCTATACAATCACAATGAGCATGCCCCCAACTTCAAAGTAGGAGCGTCAAGATCTGCCAAACATTGTCAGGACCAATCACAAACACGAACAGATAATTATTTTTCAGATTAACACTTTTGTTTTTCTCCATGGTAACCAACTTTCCCCCACACTAACAAAACAATACTTCAGACAGTCTTTGAGTATTTACAATAAAACATGTTGAAATGGCAACACTCACTGAGGTTGTTGAATGGGGGAGCCTGTGTACTAGATTATCTGCTCTCCACAAAAGTCTGCATTTCCTCCTAAGATCTTGTTTATTCTAGAACTATGTAAATTTATTTGCAGAATCAAGAAAAAGTGGTGGTTGTACAAAAAATTAGCATATTCAGATTATTAGCTTGTATATGCAACAGCTAGTCAGCTACCCACTGGCTATGGAGATAACATTGTTCAGACTGTTGTGGAGATTGGGGTAATCAGCCAAATGATTCTGTACGAAGGATATGAATGGAACATATCGGTTAGTTTTCCCAGTAATGTGAGATTAGACATTCACAAATTAATCAATGATTCTCTGTTTTGATTTCTTATAGATGGAAGAGGTGCACATAAAGTTGAACGGGAGGGACTTGCCAACATTTACTTCACTGTGAATAAAGGACCTATGTGGGGGAAATGTACATTACTGCCAGAGAGTGGAGTAGAAATGGATACAGTGTTTACAATATCATGTCAAGAATGGGTAGATGATCAGCAACCACTAATGTATCAAATTAGTTATAGTATTGGTAGTGCTGGATCAGAAGAATTATTGTATTATGGAATGAAATCTTCTGTTAGTTTCCAGTTACCTGCAGGGGATCCAAATAATAATAACACAGGTAAGAACATAATATGATGTATAACATTGCCCTTATATAGAGATTGTATTTTATCAGCTCTGAATCTACATAACATATTGATGTTAAATTTGGTAACGAAAATTTGTGTTCTGGTGTTACAGGGTCTGTGACATAAAAATGAAAGCATATTTATATGAATGAAACCAAACAAAGAACATCACATGGAGCATGTTTCAACTTTTAGATTCATTTACGACTTCATCAGTGCAATGTGTGTCTTCATGTTCTGGTGCTATGGCGTTCATTGCTATGCACCAATCAGGTTTTGTGTGTAAAAGAAGACAATATAGACATACTAATTAATGGTGTAATCATAATAACAATAATGATGTCCTCACAGTGCCATATTGGATTCAGAGTTAATTTTATACTTTATAGTGCACTCACTTGCATACCGTCTCACATAGAATCTAAGAACTCTGGGAATTTCAGTATTGTATTATTATTATATAGAATGTGTACTAAACTGTAAAGAACTCATAAAATACTGATCTATTTCATGTCATGTACATATACTATACATGTGTTTTGCATTTGAGGTCTGGGTACTGTACATGTGATGAACATGTGACATACATGTGATATACCTCTGCACATCATGTATACTATTATGAAATGAATGAATATAATTCATTTCAAACCCAAACTATTATAGAATAGGACACAACTTTGTTGATTTGGTCTTGAATATATTATTTTTATGTAATTAATACTAAGAAAAGAAAATATTTAATAAAAAATTAGCATGTACTCCTAGGTTATGGTAGATGTTTGTAATAGGTTCAACTTAATCATGGAGGTGTGTTAGGAACTAGATTATTTTTTCAGTGGCTTATGGTACAACATACAATAATTATAACTTTTTGATTGATGTCATATTTGCAGAGGGTTTGCACATTTCCATTGTGGATAATTTTGGTGGCAAGACTAAAGTGTGTTCATTGGAAGTAACAGTGGAACCCAAACCACTTTCAAACTCTCCTGAGTCACTTCTGTAAGTACAAAGGCTGCATAGTATAACTACCAAATCATATATCAGTCATCACTTATTATTCAGCACTGTTGTGTATGTTGTGACAATGACAAAACATCAGGAGGCTGGTATATGGTTTCCATCAAGTGGCTGGATGTTCCCTGCACTAAGTTCCAGCACTAAATAAAACATTTTACTAGTATTTGTCGGATAAATTGGCTCATAACATTTCAAGCTACTTAAATACCATTGACTTTAGTACAGAACAACATAATTAAAAAGTTATCCATATGTCTATGCTACTAACTATAAACAATATACACTTAATAATGTTATTTTTTATGATAGTCATAGTTATGTTGCTGGTCCTGGAAGTACTTTATACATTTACATGCAGAATGGTGATGAACAGAGTGTGCAGTTATATGTTAGGATGGTGTCTTCTATGATAAACAGATTACAACCATTAAATCCTAATAGTTTGAATTATACACAAGTAAGTAGAGAAATACACCATTGTAAATTATTTTCATATATTTTTAATTACTTAAAAAGCATTTTAAGTGAATTTCAGAATAAAATTGCAGAAAATTGATGCATCATATGTACTTAAAGGAATATATTAAAAATATATATATATATTATAATAATGTATGCATGCTAATTAAAATGATAATTAAAATAAAAACCTGTGTCATTTACATGCACTACCAATATGAGGAATATAAGCTGTGTTCAACTTATATGGAACTCTTTGCGGTTTGTGCCTGTTTGTATGTCTGTCTGTTCTATTGATATCTTAAGAACCAATTATCAGATTTTAATGACATAATTTGCATATTAGTTAGCCAATTTTAAGCCTTGTTTTGCTCATGTACTATTCAACAGATTTAAATGAAACTTGATACATATATGCTTTGGGATAATGCGCAGACCTGATTAGTTTTTTGTTGAAATTGAGGCATATTAATTACCTAATTTGCATACTAATTAGCCTATATTTTTCCTCCAATATCTCGGCCACTCAGATTTAATGAAACTTGATATATACACATGTAGATGCTTAGGATAAGCCATTTTAAATATATATTTGGTTTAGGGTTCAGTTGTGTGTTTACTAATTACTTTACTTAATCTGAATAAATTAACCAATTTATAGGTGCTCCGCAGATAACTTGAGTACCCTTGTCAAATTTTCATGAAACTAAGTGCTTTTGAATAATCCACAAATCTAATTACTGATACTTCAGGGTTGAAATCATTGCATATTAATTACTTGTCATTAGTTTCATGTTATTTTATTAAATATTTATAATTAAACCATAGCTACTTGGATCGAACCACACTGATGATTGCTTGCAGTTATATTTTTAAATGCTGTATTTGCTCTATTAGAAGCACATGTTAATACAAAGGAGAAAGACATGTCTATGGTCAAAATATGACATATTTAAATGATTTTGCATGCAATAAGCAAATTGTTCCTTTATGTTTATTGAAGATCTACTTCTAATATAGTAAATACAGTATTCCTTATTTATACTTAATGCCTCAAATACCTTTCTAAGCTTTCTTTGATTCTTTATAGAATTTGAATACAAGGCAAGAAATTCGACTTGCATTGCTGTATGCCATTGATTATTTGACAGTACGTGATTCTAATGATGTCTTACAGTATTCTATGATTCTGATAACTATTACTGATTCGCCCAGTGAGGTAAGATTTTACAACTCAAACATTTTTAATCTTAAACAAACTTCTTCTCCAAAACCACCTGTTGGATTTCATTAGATATTTCCACGATGTGTCGAGGACTGAGCCAGATATGGGAGTTTGTGGTACTATCTTCTATTCTTAACTAATTTGTACATGCAGTTTATTAAATTCTCACCCAAAATTAAATTGTAGCAAAAATTTTAATACAGGACATAATACAATGTTTGTGCCCATTTTTACAGCTGTCTGTTAATGCTATGATGCTTGCTGCTGAATTGGTTGAACGTATGGTGAACGTTGTTGTCTTGGATGATAGCATATCTAAAGTCACCAGTCAAAGTGTAATTGGTTGTATCGCTATGGTAACATCAAATTTACTGGAAGCATCTGATGGTAGTTACACTGTAGTGCCACCTGGAAAGAAGAAATTCATCATTACTAAAATTGTTGGATCAAATGAAGACTTGCTAAAGGTGACATTTCCTGAAACAGTTGTCTCATACTGCCCAAGTGTATTCTTGTGATAACCTTATTTTTATACAGTTTTTTCTACTTGTGGTGATTTATGGTATGTAAATTTGCCTGAAATGGCAATAAAACATGTTTTGTACTGTACACATATTTGTGATCAGTGACAATTGTATTTTTGTTGCACACTATATATAGAAAGTGTTTGAATAACCGTGATTTTTTCATTGTTTGTGATGTATTTTATCCCAAATTTTATCAAGTGCTGATGTAGCTTTCTACGGAATGGCAATTTTTGTTTCTAATATATTTTTTGTAAAATTCTGACAATATTGGGGACAGAGAAAGTATTTAAAATTTAATAAGGCATTAAGAATTTTGTATATTGGAGATGTGATTTATTCATAATCTGCTGATCTGCTTAGTAAAATATGATCAGTAGTGTAAAATCAAGCACATTCTTAACATTGTATTCACAATCTTAAAAGCTCTGTAAAAACTGAAAAGTACAGATGAAATACAAATATGAATAACTGCCAGTAACAGCACAATTCATTTTATAATAACAATATGTCAAATCAAACAGTAACAAGTGATTGTTTTTATGATCTGCTAAACAAAATTCAAGGTCATTGGCGACTTGTAAAGACTTTGAATAATGAAAAATATTCAAAACTCAAAGACAAGACAAGAACAACTATTTTCAATGCAAAATGGCACATCACCAAGCAGGTGAAGCCATTCTGTTTGTTTGTTTGTTTTGTAAGGTTCTCTTCATATCTAAAGTATTCAACTGGTAGCCCCAGTTAGAAAGTCATTATATATAAGAAATGATATTGTGAACTGCCATCCAAGCTTCAATACAAATATGAAACCAGATGATAACTGATGAAATGAAATGATGAAATACTGCCTAATTATTTAAAAACAATGTTTACATCTTCCTTTTACTCATAAATCTTATTCCTTTTTTAGGCTCATCAAACTCTTCAGGCGATTGATGAAGCTGCCTTAGAAATAGAAACAGACAATCTTGACATATACAGTGGTTGTCATAGCCAAGTGTCATCTGTTGCTGTTACCAAAGGCAGAACATCATTCCAGTTCCCAAGTAACATGAATGAAGTATTGGCTGATCTTGGTGACAATATGATAAATAATTGTTATAGTCTTCAGTTGATGTCTTTTAGAGGTAATCCTTATACATGGGATGAAACTTCTGCCAAGGTATGTCTTATCATTTTACCAACAACATGATAATATTTTTTACTATAGACCCTTTGCATGTTTGATACTTAAGAATTTGTTGGTCATTGGTTCAACATTCAATTAAAAGTAGTCAGAATGTCTTGTACTAGTGTTCTATATTCCCAGACTCAAGTAATGTAGATGGATGTGTCTGATCTTTTTTAATGTTTTCAAGATAAAATATATGTAGATTTTAAAAATTACCAGATCAGTTTTGAATAATTAAGCTCATTCAGCATTTTCACACTTCTGACAGTACCAATCAAATTGCAGGAACGTCAGATAGTGACAGCCATCAAAGAGTAACCATTCACGACAGAGTTTATTTGTTGACATAATAAGGTGTGATAAGTTGCGTGAGTTGCGCCCTCTGTGCGGTGTTACAATAACCACCAAAATGAATATTCATTGAGACTCATTACAAGAAGGCATGAACTTTGCGAATTCGCAGTATTGATCTTTCCGATGAAACATACACTATTCTGTCAGGCGTTAGTGAGGTCTGATGCCGTTCAGCCGACGAGGCTGCCACTTACACCTACATGTTCTGACTGAGATAGATAATTCATTATCATATTCATTTTAGGAGGGTCAATACTAATAGTTTTTCTATGTTATTTTCTACAGGTTGCTAGTGATGTATCATCATTTGAGTTATTAACCTGCAGTGGTTCTAATTTAGCCATTGAGAACCTCCAGTATGGGATCACCATTCACCTACCAAGGACACCACAACTGGTACCATATTATTCACATTTGTTTAAAATACCAATGGTCTGCATAGTCATATGTGTTTTACATGTGGGTCAAAATTTGTACTGGTATTTGCAAAGACATTTGAATGCATATAAAAATATATATATAAAAAATAATATTATATTAAATTGCATTCATTGTACTTCCAGGTTTTTTGAAATAATGTTAGTAAACTTAATGCCCAATTAGTATCTTGTAATCTGTGATTTACAGCACAGGGGCCGGACTCGATTATTTGCTAATTGCAACTACTTTTGACCCCTATTCCATTTGTATATTATTGTTTGTATGTATTTCGTGTGTTGTGAAGACTTGCTTTGTTGTTTCGAATAAACATCTATGTACATGTATCTATCAATCTATATGACTGTGAAAATCATTGCCCTTTACAGCAAGTCTCAGGAGAATCAGGGCAGCAACTGACACATGTATTGTCCTTTTAAACTACCACCACTGGTTGTTACATCCACTCAGTATGCAACCGGGAGAATACAAATCTTTCTCATTGCAGTATTTTAACAAGTCATTTAATTTTCATCATTTTATATTTCAAATTTATCAATGATAGTGACATTGAATGTAACTATGGTCAACCAACTTGATATTTTTGTTCAAACCTATTCTAACCACTCTTGATTAGGTGAATATCATGCTTGATATGTTGCAATCAAACTAGCTTAATCTAGACTTGAATAGACCAACTGTTTAGTCAAAACACAAACTGCCAGCCACTTTGTGAGCTAGTTTACCAACTTGCTGCCCCAATACTTCTGAGACTTGTTGTAAGTATCATGATCAATAAAAAACGACTGAATGTTTGAATCAGAATAATTTGTTTTTCTTCCATTTCAGAGTGAAAATCTTGGCAATTTCACATTTGACAAATCATTTCTGAATTACCATGAATTCAATGTTACTAGCGAAAATATGGAGCAGTCATTTCATCTGTTAATAGAGTTAATACCAATTATTCAAAGAGGATTTCCCATCAAATTACTTATGAGGTTAGTACCATAAATGCATACTGAAGTTGAGTACCTTGGACACATTGACCCACCTTGACCAAAGTTGTACATCTCCCAAGCTATATGTATATTTGTGTCTGGGAGTTACTGTCACTTTGAAATACTGTTTAATTTTCACTGTTAAAGATGTCCATGATTTTATAGCATTTGTTAAGATTTTTTTTGCAAAAGTCATTGACACTTTGTGACATAAGACCCCAAAGAAATTTTCACTGATACAAAATTTCAGAATTTTGCTGACTCACAAATTCATGAAATTTGTCTTTTGCAAAACTAAAATGGTATACAGAAGACCATTTCAAATTTGGCTCAATAGATAAATTATCAGAAATTTTATTTCATTACAATAATATAACTTTGCTGGATTTGCTTCAATGTGAAAATTTGTTTTAGATATGGAGAGCCACCAACGCCATATGATTTTATACTGGAGAGATTGTATGATGAAGATGCAAACCTGATGACATTATTCTTCAAAGCTGGTTACTTTAATAGTGAGTATTATGAACATTTTATTCACTATTATGAGATAAATCTTCAAGGGACACACCTCATGGGTATTGGTGGTCACAATATAGGGCTGAAAATAATTTGTTATCAATGTTATCAATTTGCATTGAACAATTTCATTCAAACATGGAATATATGCGCAAACACATTTCTTTTATGTCTTGTCTCTATTAGAAGTGCATTTACTTAATTATGTGAATGACCTACTAATAAAACGATGAGAGTTTGTTGTACTTCAAATCTCACCAAAACATGTGCTTATATAGCACTTTTGTTACTTGCATTCTTAGTATAAATTATAGAATGTGTGACTTCATACTAATCTAGGGGGTCAATCTAACATTCACATTTTGATGTTATTTGTTTACATTTTGCCAACCAGCTTGGGCATGACTAACAAATATTGGCTCCAGCACAATCTACTGTGGCTATGTTGCCAAATGTAATTTTTTTTAACCAGGACACATACATGTACATGTACATGTACTGATATATTTAATAACAGCAGCAGTGAACACAAACATTTTGCCTTCATCGTGCCTGTTTCTCGCCAACCAGCCACTTTGCAGACACATACAGGCAAAGCGTAGATAGAAGTGGGTCTTCCTATTTTTGATAGCAGAGCTACATGTACATCACAGAACATTTTATGCTGCTAAGACGCACACCACTGTACCATGTATTTTTATGGGCTCTTCACGAGCTGCTGTTGAACGCCTGGCAAAGAGCCGATGAAAGCAGCTGAGAAAACAGTCGAGAAAGTAGGATACACCCAACTTTAAAGTAATCCTGAGAAACCAAATTTGTATATGTTGCACACGTAGGGGTTACACTGTTAAGGGAAGTCTCAACAACTATCACAAAGGTACCAATTTCTGAGAGTTTTCGTCTTTTTTCACCATGATGGTTGCCAGGCGATGAAAATGCCCAGATACCCGCCCCTGAGAATAGTATTGTTTATAGTGCTAGACTATCAATGTGAACAGTAGGTGCAGATTCTTTAAATTATCGCCAATATTGTCATTTCAGGTACTGGTACATACTACCTTGGTCTAATGGATGGTGAATTTGGTGAGTACAGATACCGACCGGATTCAGTGACAGTCAGACATTATACACTCAAACTGTGGTGGGGTGAATGTTTATACTGGAGTAAAGAATCCGAGAATTGGCTAAATGATGGTTGTGATACAATGGAAAGTTCAACATTTGACGTCACTCATTGTAGATGTAGCCATCTTACCAACTTTGCTGGTGGATTTTCCCAAACGGAACAGGAACTGAGTTTTGCTGATATTGATCAGTTTAACAGGTATACTATTTTTTCATCAAGCTGGGGTTTCTTTAGACAGCGAATCGCAGTCGTGTTGGAGCATTATATAAGGCAGAATTTGATACACTGAAAAACCTATCAACAAACAAGCTGTTCATTGATTGGTCTGACTGTTATGGTTGGGTAGGCAATCAGACACAATCTTGTGATATAACTTCACATTGACTCACAAATCAGAGTGACTTTCACAAAATATTACAGGTGGCACTTTAAGGCTATAACTAATTTTTTTATATTTTTTTTCAGCGTGGAAGTGAACCCAGTTGTGTATTCATTTGTTGTTTTTGTTGTTGGTATTTATTTAATCTTGTTGATTGTTTGTTACCTTGGTGATGTGCATGATGATAAAAAGAGGGGTGTGGTTTATCTGCAAGATAACCAGCAATCTGATCAACAATGGTAAGCCATCATACACATGTATCTCATTACTTAAATATTGACTTTATCTAAGTATCATTTCATTGATATGCATGAAAAAAGATTGCATGAAATAATATTTTTTTTTCTGGCCATAATTGTAATGCTTTACATTTTCTAAATATTAATACATAAATTTTAAATTTAAATATTTCAAATGGGTAACCCTGAATTAATTGTATGTCTATTTTTACAGTTATGAAATTACAGTAGAGACTGGATTCCGTTCTGGTGCTGGTACTACAGCTAAAGTCAGTCTAGTTCTTCATGGAGAGTTAGGCCATTCAGAAACTAGAGAGCTTACTGATGAGAAACGACCACTTTTTGAGAGAAATTCCAGAGATAAGTTTATTGTTAGGTAAATGAAATTTACAAGTATTTATTTTTATTGTAATATTGCTACATTGTGTCAAATGAACTTAACCTATTGAGTACCATAAACATTTTGGTGCATGATTTTAAACTATTTTCTATAACATTTTTGATAATTTTGAACCAAATGGACATAATTTGTAGATCAAAATATAATTTATTTTGTGAATGATATCGAAAGTTGTCTTTAGTCCTCAAAGGTTTAGTATTTGTACACCTGTATAGTATACACACATATTCAAGTACTGTAGACCACTGGCCCAAAATAAGTACAGTTTAATACATCATATAATATACACATGATGTACATGACAAATTCTGGCACTCAAGAAGAAATAAAATAAATATATAATTGAGTTAGTAGTGTAGAACCGCAAACGCTCACAGATGCAGGCAACTAGGACAAAATGCTTGCTCTTATGCTGGGTAATTTTCAGATCAACAACATTCCTGAATTTATCTTTGTTTCAGTGTTCCAGAAACATTAGGTACAATATACAAACTCCAAGTGTGGCACAATAATGCTGGTTCATCGCCAAGCTGGTTTCTGAGTAGAATTAGTGTTCGTGATCTGATTAATGGGCAGAAATGGTATTTTATTTGTGAGAAATGGTTTGCAGTAGAAGAAGATGATGGCAAAGTAGAGAGAGACATTTACCCCCAAGACTATGGTGTAGGATTCCAAAAGGTATTGCCGTTTTAATAAATCTTATCTAAAAATAGCCACTGACTTGTTTATGCCCCCCCAAATAGTATTCTATACTCATCATTACGTATGTCACATTCAACTGACGATAGAAACCATGTTTTGGTTGTAGAGAATTCAACACTATTTAGTGAGCAAAAACAAGTAAAGTGACTCACTCACTTACAAAGAGATTTCATGGCCATTACGAATAGGTAAAACAGCCTCAAACTGACCATTGTTTTTTTATGATCCTAACTTGTAGCCAAAATGCCATCTAACATGTATAGAATTGTGTTGGGGGAAATATGCTAAAAGTTCACAATATTTTTCTTTTTTTTCATTTTATTCTCATTTTTTTTACGCTAACATTTAACAATATTTTTCTTTTTTCCTCAGGTTTTTTATGCTAAAGGTTCACAATATTTTGCTGATTATCATTTATGGAGTTCAGTCTTCACAAAACCATCTCATAGTAGATTCACTAGAGTGCAGAGGCTGACATGTTGTCTTGCAATATTACTCACATTCATGTGTATCATTGGTACATGGTATAGATTCAATGATAGACCAGTAAGTTATAATCATGTACATTAGTGGTAATTCTAACACATTGTATCAAATCACATGCATACTAATTGTATTCAAGACCATAGTGTTAGTGAAATCACAAAACATAAGTAAGTAGCATTTGACCTAATAATATTAGAACTTAGATGCCGTCAAGATCTTGTTTAAAGCAAGAGAACCATGCAACTTTTTTCCCCTGAATTCAGATTTTGCACTATCCATATCACTGCACATATACATGTATACAATGCATTATGGGAGATAACCTTCTATTGTATAAATGGAAAACTAGTATCATGCTGGAAACTCAATAAATTATATATCAATTTTTTTTAAATAACTTCACAATGTTAGATTCAATACAATGGCCCCTCGCTAAGTCGCGGGTGTCGGGATCCAAGCAAAAACCGCGACTTATCGAGGGCCGCGACTTACCGAGGGACCTCGTGAAAGAGGGAGATCGTGCATTGAAAAACATATAAAAAGCGCATATAAACCCTCGGTTTAGCTAATTGATGTATCATCATATGTGTCAGGCAGTATTCGAATAAAATCGTGATTATGTTTGCTGTAAACATTGCGTTGATTATTTTGTTTGTGTCCGATATTATGTGGGTCGCTTGCTGTTGCTTGCGACTTCGACGGTAACAGCTTCCAAAATAAACCAGTTTCATCGCAATTATAAACTTGTTCGTCAAAATAACCACCTTCATAGATAATTTCTCTCAGTTTTTCGGAAAAGTTCTGACAGCGTCCATGTTCACAGATCGAGCTTGGATTGAGACTGCGTGTGTCGATAGCGTGTCCTCTTTGCCATCGCAAGAACCACCCTGACACTTTCGCATGTTTTTCTGTTCAGTCCCGCCTCTTGGTCAACTTTGAAAACAAATTTACTTTTCATTTTTTACCCACCCACGAATAGTGGGCTCAACCACGGCTAGATCACGTGCAACCCATAACTTGGTTTCACCTCTACTTGACACGGTCGATCGCCGTGAGTTTATGGCGTACGAACAGGCTGGATAGCTTTTGCTTTGACATGCTGCTCAATTGAGAAATAGAGATCAGAATTCTATGAATTCAACTCATTGTAGAGAGTTTTTTTAGAGGTATACCAAATGGGACCGGCCAAGAAGTATGTACGGTCACTACTCGACACCCCTGTTGACACCTTGAGTAAGGCCGCCGTCACCCATTTCGTCTCAGCAATTGACGGACAGTGGGTGTTAAGTTGTCTCTTTAACGGTTAGTTAAAAACACTATGCCACGAAACATTAGTCTTTGTACTTCAAAATTGCTGTCAAAACACAATAGAAATTTTGGGAGCCATCCAAGTACCCGCCACTTAGCCGAATCGCGACTTACCGAGGCGCGACTTAGCGAGGGGCCACTGTATCAATAATAAATATATATCAATTTTTCATCTTATACATATGTCACTGAGCAAAATTTTGAGCACAAATTATCTCACTATAAAGAAACCAGTGTAAAACTGCAAATTGTGACCATTTTGACATAACAACAGAAGTGGTAAATTGGAATTTGACACAGTTCCTAAATGTGTAGTGGAAGAAACAAATCAAATCAAATTCATGGTTAAACAATAGTGCCAACTACAGTGGCCCCTCGCTATATCGCTGGTGTCAGGATCCTGTCAGGGTATCGTGAAAGGGTGGTTTATGCACTGAAAATGGATAAAAAGTACATATACACAAACAGGTTTACTCATAGTTCGTTTTCTTTATTGAACAACATCACAGCATCCATGTCCACATAGATTCAACACATTGCAGTGAGTTTTATAGAGCTTTATCAAAAAGAGCTGGCCGAGAAGTACGTAAAGTCACGACTTAATACCCCATTGACACTTCGAGTCATACCCTGTCACATCTCCTCCTGCCTTTTAATGGCCAATTAGTTACAAGATGTGATGAAACATTAGTTCTTTCACTTCAAAACTGCTGGTAAAGTACAATAGAATTGTCAGAAGCCATCAATCTACCCGCGACTTAGTCGAAACCACAACTTACCGAGGCGCAACTGAGCGAGAAGTCACTGTATATGTATATATGTACTAAATTGAAAAGATCAAAAGTTGATTCCTTAACTGTAGTCATAAAATTATTCACAACCATAATATTAAATACATATTTTTTATTTAATCTAAAGGAGTGGTCAACACATCTGGGAATTATTGATGTTTCAATAGAATCTCTTGTTGTTGGCATAGTTACAGCATTAATGGCTTTACCTGTAAATGGACCAATTGTCATGCTATTCAGAAGAAGTAAGGTATGTGGATATCAATGAAGATCTAACCCCAATTGAAGAAGTCACATGAATTGAAGTAGCTACATGAATTGCGAGATTATCACAAAATTCCAAGACAAACCTACATTGCTAAAAATCGTGATGCAAATTAGTTATTTTGTGCAAGAATTAGTTCATATTCATCTTGGACCGTTTTTGATAGTACCGGTATATATTCACAATATGCATGTTTAGCGTTTTTAAATACCATGATAATTTTGCTCAGTCTTGTTTGTGCAATCGAACATTACTAAGTACACACTGCAATCTGTGATATTATATTAGTTAAAACTCTGTTTGATTGAGATGCACAAAAAGGATGAGAAATTCACTGGGTCTAATTTTGGCAGAATGAATGTAATAGAAATATATTCACTAGATTGTGAAGGAAACAATACATTCTGTATTTTCTGAGTTTTAA